TTACACAGTGATTGTACTAGTTTGCAGTCCCACCAGCAGTGCATAAGTGTTCCTATCTCTCCACATCCACATCAACATTTATTGTTTTGGGACTTTTTGATAAAGGTCATTCTCACTGGAGATAAGTGATATCTCATTGTGGTTTTGATTTGCATTTCCCTGATGATTAGAGATATTGAGCATTTTTTCATGTTTCTTGGTCATTAGTCTATCTTCTTTTCAAAAGTTTGTCTTCATGTTTTTTGCCCACTTTTTGATAGGGTTATTTAACTTTTTCTTAGTTATTTTTCTGAGTTCTAAATAGATTCTAGTTATCAGCCCTTTATAGGATGTATAACATGCACATATTTTCTCCCATTCTTAGGTTGTCTGATTGCAGTCGTGATAGCTTCCTTGGCTGTTCAGAAGCTTTTTAAACAGATTAGGCCCCATTTATTTATTTTTGTCATTTCTGTGATTGCCTTTGGGGGTTTTCTTCAAATATTTTGTCTAGGCCAATGTCCATGAGTTTTTCCAATATTTTCTTCTAGAATTCTTATATTTCATTTCTTAGGTTTAAATCTGTTATCCACCATGAGTTGATTTTTGTGAGAGGAGAGAGGTTAGATGTGCAGATCCTGTTTCAGTCTTCTACATGAGGCTATCCAATGTTCTCAGCACCATTTCTTAAGGATTCTTTCCCCCAGTGTATATTTTTTTTCTGCTTTGTCAAAGATTACATGGCTATATGAGAATGATTTTATATCTAAGTTCTCAGTTCTGTTCCATTGATCTATGTATCTGTTCTTGTGCTATTGCCATGCTGTTTTAGTTATGATAGCCTTGTAGTATAGTTTGAAGTCTAATAAATTGATGCCTCTCAATTTGTTGTTTTGCTTAAGATTGCTTTTGCTATATGGGGTCTTATATGGTGATCTTATATCTAGAAAACCCCAAAGATTCCACCATGAGACTACTCAAATTGATAAACAAATTCAGCAAAGCCTCAGGTTATAAAATCCATGTGCAGAAATCAGTAGCATTCCTATATGCCAACAATGGTCAAACAAGAACCAAATCAAAGACTCAATACCCTTCACAATAGCAACAAAGAAAATAAATAAAATATCTAGGAATATATTTAACTAAGGAGATAAAATTCCTCTATAGGGAGAACTATGAACATTGAGGAAGGAAATAGCAGAGGATGTAAACAGGTGAAAAAACATGCCATGCTCATGGTATGGCAGAATCAACATTGTTAAAAAGTCCATACTACCCAAAGTGATCTACAGATTCAATAGATCCCTATTAAAATACCAACATCCATATTTTTACAGATGTAGAAAACAGATGAAATATTAGTTTTATAAAAATAAGCATTTTCACATAAAATCATATTAACTTTTGCCTCAATTTATAATGTGAGATGTGAAGTACTTTCTTCTTTAGAATTTGACTAAGCATTCAGGGCTACATTGTGAAACTTCAAGGTAGTGCTAACCCTCTGTAGACTTCAGCAGGGGAGCTGTCCTCAAAAGGAAGGTTTGGAAAAGGACATGGATGAATAGGTTGCTGAGAGTAGGTTGGAATGGAATTCTTCTTGATAGCATATTCATGTGGACTTTTAAAAAAGACTAGATTCTGTTTATCTAATTAATAAATACCCAGTATATGTAGGTGTGTCTATAATGTATGAATCTCCGAAAGGTTTCCACTCTGATTTATAAATCATAGTTCTTTATTTTCTTGCTTCAAATTCTCCAGGGAAGACTGAGGAGGACAAGATTCTTTGTCATAAGAAAAGGGGAGAGATTGTAGCCCGTACCACACACCAACAACACTCCATATAACAATAATTTTTACCACCTGCCTATCTTATAGATGTTATTCACCAATAGCAACTGACCTACACTTTAGAGAAGAAATTTAAGAAAAAGTTTGACAGCCAGCTCCACTATATCTCGCTCGCCGCGCTCGCGCGTTAGAGCAAAAAAGGATAGCAATTATACTGCTTATGAGCACCGCAGAATGGGATTCCCTACATTCAAATGCATTTGAAAGACACTGAAACTGAACATCTGTGAACTCTAATTCTTCTAGGCTTGGCTACACATAGTACCACATATAAAAAGAGTAAAATGACCTGCTAGTTGCCATTGTGTTAGCCTAACCCATTACACTGCATATGTATGGTTATGTGTGTATTCATGCATGAATGTGGGTGAGTATCTTATAAGAAGGTAATGAAAGTTTAAATGGGAACATAAATTACATATAGGAAAAAATGTAAAGAACAGGATGCATAAGTGAAAATAAAAAGAAGAAAATAAAACCTGAATATTTGTCCATTTCTTTCCTCTTGCCACAAAAATTGAACCCAAAATCTAGCGTGTGATGTCCTCCTGATAACTGAATCCTAGAAGATGTACTTTGAAAGACTTGGATGTTAATCTGAAACTAATTCAAGCCTTTTGAGTTCAAAAATTGGATTGGAAATCTTTTAAGAGCAGGATTTCTCATGAGATTTCTATTACTTCTATTCTTACTGATAAGCCACAGGTATCAGAGAAACATCCATTTGTGTGCTATCTTTGGATCCTTCACTACAAGAGAAGAGGTATAGAACGAAAAGATGGGGTTTGCTTTGATTCAGGTTTCAGAGGAAGGTTTCAATCAATTCGAATTTTGTCTGAAGCCACTCTACTGTAATAGCCTAAAGTCTTTATTAGATACTCGCATGATGTTACTTTCAGTGTAATATGCCAACTTCAAGAGAGGGAGTTGATCTGGTCTCATGGATAAGGTCTAGTTCTGGCTGTGTTCCTGACCTATGAAACTGACCTTGTATAAGTAACTCATTTACTTTGTTCCTCAGTTTCCTAACCTCTATAGTGAGGCTAATTACTTAACCAAGCACACACTGAAACATTATTTGAGTTACTTTGTCAAAGTTGACATTTTTGTGTGTGATATTATTATTAATAATACTTTAAAACATTTTTATATATACTGGCTTTGCAAATTTCAAGTGGAGCCACTTGTGAGGAGAACTAGATGTATGATGAGGGAATAGTATGGGCTGTGCATGGGTGTTTGGTTCCATATGCCCTATGGTGTATACAAATAAGCCTCTTTCGGTGAATACATACGTACTTTCCTCATGCTGAGCTTGAGAAATGTTTATTCTTCTTCTTCCAGAGCATAGCTCTGCCAGTGATAACTAATTTTTTATCAGCAGGGGAGCTTTCTTCTGCCACAGATGTGATATAAACCTCAGGGCTGAATTATGTCAATAGCCTATTTTTTCCCACTCCATGCCCCAGTGCCACACCTGCTCAGTAAAATTACAGTGACAAGGGAGCAGTGTTGATCTTTTGTCCACTGACAGAAAAATAGTTAGTAATACCAGAAAGAAAGAACTCACAATAGCTTTTATTTTAACCCCACTGAGTCCTCTTGGAGACCTCAATTAATAGGATTAAACACCCTTCCTGGGAATTATCAATATACTTTAAATATAAATTTATACTGCCAAGTCAACCCCAGAGGGGAAAATGGAAATAATTGCAAAAGTTTCTAATTTTGTAATAAGAAGGAACATTTCCTTTAATCAATTCCTGCATTATAGTCTGTAAATAAAAATATCACTAAGGAAATATCTTTCTCAGAATGATGTACTCCCTGTGGCATGGCATAATGAGCTTGGATATGCTACAGACACTGAATAAGCAACAAGCTGATTGAGAATTCAGGTTTATTCAGCATGGATAGTGGGATTTTTAAAAAGTTCCTCATACAAAAATAATGCAGTTATAGTTCACTTCCTTTGTATTTTCTTTGTAAAAATAAAACTTAGAATGCAGTCAGCTTTTATATATTGTGTCTATTTTATTTCAAAGGGTGCTTTGCTCCTCTAACCTGATGTTCTATAGACATAAATGAAAATACAGTATATGGTTTTATGTTATTCTTAAGGTGAAAATCTAAGACATTGACATTCTACTAAGATGTTTAAGAAGTGATACATTCTTTTGTAAAACCTATGGCATATTTGAGTCTATGTGCTAGTAGGAAAGAGCTATGAGTATATGCTAAGAGCAATGAATATATATAGAAGGTGGGAGAGGCATTGAGTTTTATTGACTATATTTCTTACCACATCTAAAAAGTAATATATTGAAATAAAATAAAAAGCAATGATATCTGTCCCTAGTTGTTGTCATTGTATATTTTCTATTGTTTCTATTGTTTTAATTAAACATTACAGCTGACTTTATTCATCATTTTCATGGCAGAAATAACCAGATTCGAAATGCTAAAAGTTTGGTGTAGCCATGTCAATCCTATTGGTTACATAGTAAGGTCACAATGCAGTCTAACCATCACTCATCATGCTATTATCTGTTACATATAAGTACACTACTACAGTGTGCATGCATACCTGTGTACATGCACACACACACACACACACACACACACACACATTTGCTGTTAGAGTACACTATGATATGTCAGAAGATTCATGGACACTATCACAGAAAGAATAAAAGTCACTGATTAGAGAGAAACAAAAAATCTGAACTCATTCATTCATTATTCTTAACAAATATTTATTGAACACCTAATATATGCCTGGCATGTTTTAGGTACTACAGATAGGGCAGTGAATAAAAATCAGGCCCCAAAGCCTGCACTTATTGAATTTATATTTCAGTGGAGAAGACTGACATTGTATTAGGCAACTAAATAAAATCAGCAGTATGTGATACAGTATGAAACATATACTATTAAGATAAAAAATAAAAAGAAACAGAGTGGCCATTAAAACTTTAGACAAGTTACCAGTGTAGACCTCAGTGAGAAGGCATATTGGTTTTCTATTGATCTATATCAGATGAGCACACATTTAGTGTTTAAACAACCTAAATTTATTCATATGGTTCTAGAGTTCAGAACTCTAAAATCAAAGTGTTGGCAGGGCTGTGTTCTATCATAGAAGAATTAGCTTCCTTGTCTCTTCCAGCTTCTAGAAGCCACCTGCTTGGCTTGTGCCCTCTTCCTCACATCACTCCAACCTCTTGCTAGGCCCATCTCCTACTGCTCACTCTGACCCTCCTAGGTACTTCTTATATAAAGAATCCTTGTGATTAGATTGAGTCCACCAGGATAATCCAGGATAATCTCTCCATCTCGAGATCTTCAACTTAATCTGCAAAGTTGTTATTGCCAAGTAAGATAAAATATTCACAGGTTCTAGTGATTAGAACATTGATATATTTTTTTGTAGGGAGACACTTATTCAACCTACCACAGAAGATAAAATTTGAGGAAAGACCTAAGGAAATAAGGGCACTAATTATGTAATATATACAGGATAAGAACTTTCTAGGAAAAGTGAAAAATGAATGCAGATTTGCTCAACAGGAGTATTTTGGTATGTCCAAGAAACAGGAAGATAGACTCAAGAGATAGTAGTGATGTCAGATAGATGACAATTTTGATGGGGGGGTGCCATAAGACATGTAGGATCTGACTGTAAGTCACATAGTCAGAGTTTTGACTTTCATGTTGAGTAACATAGGGAGGCATTGGATGGTTTTAAGTAAAAAATGATGTTATCTGTCTTCTGTATAATAGGGTCACTCTGGATGTTGAGGTGAGAACAGACTAAAAATAAGTCAATGGTAGAAGCATGAGACCAATTAGAGGAGTATTTCAATAATGCATGTAAGAAATTATGGTAGCCTAGGCAAGATGATTGCAGTGGGTGTAAAGAGAAATGATCATATTCTGGATGGTTTTTGAAGGTAGAGCTAACAGAATTGGCTAAAATGAGATGCATCAGAGATGGCATCATGTTTTGAGGCCCGAAAAACAGAAGGAATGGAGTTTGCATTAACAGAATTAGAGAAGGCTATGGATATAGCCAGTTTTGAAAGAAAGATCAGGAACTTACTTAGGGGCATGATGGGTTTGAAATTCTTATTAGTTATACATGTGGAAATTCAGTTTAGAGTCACTGTATGATGATATAAATTCAGAAATCACTAGAATATAATGAGATTTAAACCCAAGAGATTAGATGAGGTAAGATAGTGGTTAGATATATAGAGAAAAGAGAAAATGCATAAAGTTTCAGCCTTAGTGCCTTGGGGCACTCTAAAACTTAGAGGCTGAGGCAAGCCTGACTTCCTGGACACAATGTCTGGTTGTTGCATTGAGACCCACACTCAAAAAGGTCCCAGGGTTGTTTTAGATTCTGTTGTTGCCTTGAAATTCTTAATTTTTGAACAAGAGACCTCATATTTTTTATTTTGAACTGTGCTTCACAAATTATGTAGCCAGTTCTGCTTTAGGAAGTATAAAGGAACCAGGAAAAGAGACTAAGAAGTGTACAGAGAGGTAAAATAAAAACCAGGGAAGTATAGGATCCTGAAGCCAGATAAGTAAAGAATTGTTAGAAGTAAAGAGTGAAAAATCTTATATACAGCTGTTGATAGGTCAAAGATGGTAAAGATGAGAATTACCTCTAGAGTTAGCAATGGGCAAGTATTTGATGTCTTTGAGAAGAACAATTTCAGGAGAGTTGTAGGAGAAAATACTTATTGGAGTGGATGTATTTTGGGGGCAAAAATTTCTAAGAGAAATTGGTGAGTGATAGGTAACTGTTAAAGAATTTGCTCTAAAGTAACTAAAGAGTGAAGTAGGTGTCAGGGGGCTTAACAGCATGACTGTTAGTAGTTATACCCATGAAGTATAGAGAAGAAAGGTGATGAAGCAGGAGAGCAAGAGAAAATAAGTACTGGGACAATATTTTTCCATAGGGCAGAGTCTCAGAGTTGGTATACAGTACAGGCACTGGCCTTAACTAGTAGCACAGGGAGGTCACTCATACTAACAATCTGTAATGTATACTTTGTGGGTCTTGACACTGAAACTACTATAAGGGTTTACTACCATATCCACGTTTGTCCTTTCCCCTATGAAATACAAAGAAAGATAGAGCAAGCATAGGAAAGATGTATTAGAGATTTGTGGGAAGAGAGATAGGTACAAAATAACTGTTTGGGATAAGAGAAGAAAGGAGGAAGGAAAATATGGGGCGATTAGCAGGTAGTATTAAGAGTCTACATGTGTAAAGTGATCATCAATTTAAACTTTGACTACATGATATGTATCTTCTCCTCCCAGCTTCAGCTGGCACCAGTACCACATAAAAAAAAAAAAAGAGTCAGATCAAACTAGCGCTGTTGTTTCACCAAGGAAATGTATTAAAACAATAGAGAAAGAAAAAGGAGGTGAGGTTAAAAGAAAGGCATGGTAATAATGTTTATGGAATGTGACTTACATAAGAAGAAAAGACGATATGAAGGGTGTAAGAAACAGTAAAAGTGTTGTCAGATACAACAAAATCAAAGTGCAGATGAAAGCGAAGGATTGTTAGTGCTGAGATAATAGAGGAAATGAACAAGAAAGAGAATAGAATGCTGCATAGGATTGAATGTTGGAAACTAAAATAGTGGGGGAGGGATTGTAGCTATTGACAACAATGTCAACAGAATGACTGTGGAGTGCAGGACTGAAATTGAGTAGAGATAAAGGAGGGAGAAGCAAGGGTCTAAGGGGCAAGAAAAAATAACCTATGCAACTATTGTGATCACCAACAAAGATCACCAAAAACAACAGTGTTGGAGTTACCAATAAGCCATGTAGAAGTGAGCTTTTTTAGTACCTGGGAGACTGGGAGATGGCTACAACATGGAAGGCAATTGGTGATCTAGTCTGGAATGAGATTCAAAGCAGAGAAAAAAAAATATTTTGATAAGTGAGGGAGAATGGTCTGGAAGTGGCAACATAGAGCACCCCATCTCTAGCGAACATGTTCTGAGCGATGTGAGAGAGAAAACAGCCACCATAAGAGATGGATTCATAGAGAGAACATTATCATTAGAGAAGAACAAAATTTCAATTAGGGAAAGAAGGTGAAGATAATATTCACAGAAAAGTTTGAGATTAATGGTGATTTTGGTGATGATAAAGGCACTTAAAATATCTTTTCATTGAAGTATGGAAGGCTTTAATAAATTTAAAAAGATTGAAAGCATATAGAATATATTCTTTAACCACAAAGTAATTCAATTTAAAATAAATTACTAAAAGATATTTGGAAAAAGTCCTCAAATGATCTGAAATAAATGAATACATTTATAAATAATTGCAAGGAGAATTAGAAAACATTTTTACTTGAATGAAAATAAAAACTAAAAATATCAAAATTTGTCCAATGAAGATAAACAGAGCTTAGGTTAAAATTTGTAACTTTAAGCGTGTCCATCCCCCAGTTGGTACACATCGCATTCATTATGTATGTATATACCCATCCCCTCTCCACCACCTGCCCTACACCCAATAAATGTTATTTCTATATGTCCACTTAGGTGTTGGTCAGTTAATACCAATTTGGTGGTGAGTACATGTGGTGCTTATTTTTCCCTTCTTGGGATACTTCACTTAATAGAATGGGTTTTGAGGGGGGAGGTGAGGCAAGAGCAATATATGTAACCTTAACATTTGTATCCCCACAATATGCTGGAAAAAATTTTGTAACTTTAAATGATTATATTAAAATGAAGAAAGATTTCTTGTTAATGATCTAAATTCTCAATATGGGAAGCTAGGGAAGAATAATAAATTAAATCAAAATAAGTAAAAGGAAGATATTAATAAAGAACAGAAATTAATGAAATATAAAATAGACAAACAATCGATAAAAATAACAAAAAAAGGATAAATTGGATTTCATCAAAATTAAACATTTTTTTTTCTCTTGAACAAACTTCATTAATAAGCTGATAGGAATTGATTTCTGGTAGATAATTTGTCAATACATATATCTGAGTAGACTTATATCCAGAATACATAAAGAACTTTGAAAATCCAAAAACAAGAAGACAAAAAGGAAATACATTGAACAATGAGCCAAAGATTAAGAAAACATTTCACAAAATAAGTTATATTGATGGCCGGTAAGCAAATGCATTATTTTCAACAAATTTAATCAATTAAAACCACAGTGAGATACTACTACATAGCCATTGGAATAGACAAAATGAAAAAGATGAATAGTATTGAACAGTATGAAATTTTGGCAAGGATGAAGAATTACTGAAACTTATTGCTGAAGGAAGTGTAAAATTGTATAACCAATTAAAAGCTGTTTGGCTGCCTTCCCATTTGCCTGGCACCCAATGAATGTTACTACTATATGTGGACCAAGTGTTGATCAGTTAATATCAATTTGATGGTGAGTACACGTGGTACTTGTTTTCCATTCTTGTGCTACTTCACTTAGTAGAATGGGCTCCAGCTCCATCCAGGATAATATGAGAGGTGCCAGATCACCATTGTTTACTGTCGCTGAGCAGAACTCCATGGTATACATGTACTACACTATATTAATCCATTCATGTATTAATGGGCACTTGGGTTGTTTCCACATCTTTGCAATTGTGAATTATGCTGCTATAAACATTCCAGAATATCTTTTTTTCTTTTGAGTAGATATCCAGCAATAGGATTGCTGGATGAAATGGTAGTTCTACTTGCGGTTCTTTGAGGTATCTCCATATTACTTTCCACAGTGGTTGTGCTAGTTTGGAGTTCCACCAACAGTGTATGAGTGTTACTATATCTCCGCATCCATGCCAACATTTATTGTTTTGGGACTTTTTGGTGAAAGCCATTCTTACTGGAGATAAGTGATATCTCATTGTGGTTTTGATTTGCATCTCCCTGATAATTAGAGATGTTGAGCATTTTTCCCTATTTTTCTTGTCTATTAGTCTATATTCTTTTGAAAAGTTTCTGTTCAGGTTCTTTGCCCACTTTTTGATAGGGTTGTTTGATTATTTCTTGGTGATTTTCCTGAGTTCTATATAGATTCTAGTTTAAGCCCTTTACCGGATATGTAGCATGGGAATATTTTCTCTCATTCTATAGGCTGTCTATTTGCTCTCATGATAGTTTCCTTGGCTGTGCAGAAGTATTCACGCCTAATGGGTGTAATGCACACCATCTAGGGGGTGGTCACACTTGAAGCTCCGACTCAGGTGGAGCAAAGGCAATATATGTAAGCTAAATATTTGTACCCCCGTAATATGCTGAAATAAAAATAAATAAATAAATAATTTTTTTAAAAAGCTGCTTGGCTGTAGTTTATTATTAATATAAAGTTTAACCTATACTTACCATGTGAGCCAGAAATTATACTCCTACATATTTAATCAAGAGAAATAGAAGCATATATTTACAAAAAGACTTGTATACAAATGGTCATAAATATTTGAAAATAAGAAAACATTTCAACAAATGAATAGATAAAAAACTTCAGTATATTCTTATAAAGGAATACTACTCATCTGTGAAAACATATCAATTATCAATATATACAACATGGAAGAATCACAAAAACATTTTAAGGGATAGTAGGCAGGCACATAATAATATCTACTGCCAATCCCATTATATGAATTGAAAAATAGGCAGAATTAATTTATAGTGATAAAAATAATATCAATAATGGCTTAGAGAGGGGAATGAGAGTTATTTGTATTGAAAAGTGACATAAAGCAACTATTGGGGATGACAGAAATGTCCTATATATTTTTTCCAATTATTCATATGTTTTTGATTTTTTTATTTACATACATTTATGAGGTACACGTGCCATTTTATTACATGCATAGTATGCATAGTGGAGAAGTCAGGGCTTTTAGGGTGTCCATTGCACCTATTACATGGTTTCTCATCATCCACCCCTACTACCTCCTTGCCCTTCTGAGTTCTCATTGTCTATCATTGCATACTCTACTTCCATGTGTGAACATTATTTAGCTCCTGCTTACAAGTGAGAACATGTGATATTGGTCTTTCTGTGTCTGACTTGTTTCACTTAAGATAATGGCTTCCAGTTCCATTAATGTTGCTGCAAAAGATATGATTTCATTCTTTTTATGGCTGAATAGTATTCCGTTGTGTATATATACCACATTTTCTTCATCTAGTCATCCTTTGGTGGACACTTAGATTGATTTAATATCTTTGCTATTGTGACTATTGCTGCAATAAACATAAAAATTCAGGTATCTTTTTGATATAATGATTTCTTTTCCTCTGGGTAAATACCTAGTAGTGGAATTGCTGGATCTAAAGGTAGTTCTACTTTTAGTTCTATGAGAAATCTCCAGACTATTTTCTAAAAAGATTGACCTAATTTACATTCCCACCTATAATGTAGACTTCTATATTGTCATTTGTTGCCATTTGTCCTCATCCTCACCAACATTTATTATTTTTTGTCTTTTTAATAATAGTTATTCTGACTGGAATCTCATTGTGATTTTAATTGGCATTTCTCTGATGATTAGTGATGCTGAGCATTTTTTCATATGCTCAAACATTGAATCTGTTGGAAATTTGTATGTCTTCTTTTGAATGTTTACACAGTAGATACACTTGTACAAATCATCAAGCAGAGTTAATTAAATTGCAATAAAACTGAAATATGAGTTGCTTGATATCTATTTTACTGAATATCAAGGGAATCATCCAAATAGTGTTATTGGTTTTAGAAGACAAAAACATAATTTTTTGTTTAGTGCCTTTTATAATTCTTTTGCTTCAATAGTTTGAGATGATGACTAGCTTCGTTTAAAAAGGCAATGTATTTATTAAGGACATTTCTGTTAACTTGATAATGCAGATATGCTTTCAATGAAAATATATTCTTTGATTCTAAAATATGTCTAAAGAAAATTTTACATTTTTGGAAATTTATTTCTTATTCTCTCTTGGTGGTTAATGAGCTTTAATTAAGTTTAATTACAAAGTTTATCATAATGACAAAAACGTATATTTATCTGTTTTATCTCCACACCTCACCCTAATTCTGTCAGGAAAAAATAAAATTAGTTTCTACTTCTGGAGCAAGGATTAGAGGCACATATGATTGAATAATGCAACATAGTCTATGTATGTTTCTTTTATATGATATATTTAAATTAAGGAGCTTTCATTATATTGGGTCAGTGACATTGTATAAACACAAATAATTTTTTTGTGTTTCCAAAATCATTTTTGCTTTTTAAAAATATTTTGCTACTCTAATACCTTGTTTTTAATTTTGGTTCTTAAATTTTCTATTTCTTGGTTCCACAAGATTTTATCACTTTTATATTGTTCTTTCTCTTCTTGTCACCAACCAGTCCTGCATGGGTGGTGGGTCTGATATTGGTAAAGGTCTTCAGGGTCTTTTGAGATCAATTTAGTGTGTATGATACCCAGTTTCCTTTGCTTATATCTCACACACTATTTCCCTCGTCTTATTTATTGAGGCTAATCTATTTTTAAATAGATGAGATCATGCTTATGTTGTGAAAAGCCCTACCTGCTGTGAGTGATATTTTCCCTCTCTCTTTTTACACCCTTTGATCTCTAAATGTAGCTGACCCTACACAATATTTCCTTAGTACCTTGGAGAAAAAATACCAAATTAGAAGAGATTCATTTATTTACTTGAAAATATAAATCTCTTAAGATTAGTGAGAATCTATTCTGCATGTTGCATTGTGTCTATTACAGTGAAATTGTGCAATAAATATTAATAGGAATAAAGGAAAGTAAATAGAGGGAATTTTATTTAAAAGAAAACAATTGTTCTGTTGTCTATGAAGAAATGAATTTCAATTTATGGAGATAGTGATGTCTGAAAAGATGATATTATCAAAGAGTATCATGAAAATGGCTTTTCAAAAGAGGGAACAAAATCATAAAGATATCTAGTAAGATTTGAAATAGGATCACCCTAGGATTAGGAAATTTGTACTTTCCCCAGAAATACAACACAGAGTTTTGTCAAATAAATGGCATTTTGGGTTTAGGTTGTATAACTTATAAGTCTCAAGAACTAACTAGAATATCTGCTTTTTTCTGCAGAGCTGAAGTAAAGAGAAAGAGAGGAATTTTATCATTCGGTGGACCCAATTTCAGCATGACTTCAGAATCCAAATAACCTTTCATTAAAGAGAAGAAAAGAAGTGGGAGAACCTAACAACAAAACAGGTCATTTCGTTTCTTTATATTTGAACAACTAAAAACAATTTTGAAAGGTTTTTTTCCTTCCCCTTTATTTTCATGGGAATATAGAAATCTTTTTGGATAAAAGCCCATTTTATAGACTTGGCAGAAAATCTGGACCAAATGATTTCAATAGCTCTGGTCATTGGGGTTCTAATTATAACAAGTTAAAAACAGGAATATATAAACATTTATTTTTATTGTTTCCTTCTGGATGCTACAGATGGATTGTGCCTCTGGCAGTTCCTAATTCTCTATTAAGAAAAGAATGTTCAGTATCATTATTTATAGTAATCAAAATAGAAATACTTTAGCAGAATGGATGATCTGAATTTATGTTTGAATTAGGCAATATTCATGTGTACCTAAATTATTGCACTTGGTCCATGTCCTGATGAGGTTCCTGAGAGAAGACCCCAATCCACCAGGTAGTAGAGGGCAATGTCACTGGTCACTGAAAACTTGTGACTTCTGGCTGATGATCATGACCTCTCTGTGGAATACTGATATATTTCTAGGGAGATTCAAAGATCTTTTCTGAGTACAACCAGCCAATGTACAAACTTCCAACTGTAGGAAATGTGCAAGTAAACCATTTGACATAAGATATAAAATTATTGAATTGGAACAAAGCTAAAATATTATGTAGGTAGTACATACCCTGCCTCGCATCCTGAAAGTGGCACAACCAGGTCATATAAAAATTGAGAAATCTGTGAAAAAATTTTTGGCATAGTTCTTTCTTACTATATTTTACTAATATTAATTAACATTAATTGAGTATTCACTATGTGTCAAGCACTTTGCATGAATTATCTTAAGTAATACCGGCATTAATGCTGTTTCAGGCCTACATGATGCCCAAAGTTATTATTCCTCTGTCCTAGTCTGTGTATGATGTCATCATTCTTGAGGAAAACTTCCTGTCAAGGAGAGGTACAAGATGAACATTTGTTTGCTCCTGGATCACATTCATGGTGATAGTTACCATGGTTGAACTCTCGTGTGGAACAGTGCTCATGAATGCATCTTATTCAAAGAAATGGAAAAATAACTTCTGGAGTCAAGAGAACTGGGTTTACCAACAACTAGTGTATTATCTAGGGCCTCTTCTTTAACCTTTTCAAGCTCCTGTTTCCTCATCTATAAAAAGAAATGCTATTTAAATTCTATAAGCCTAAATTTTCATATATCAGGAATTAAGGAATGCAGGTCAGCGCCTTAAGTCCAAAACATTTCTTCCATTATCCAAAATGAGACCATAATACAGTTATGATTTTTGTCTAAGAATATTTTCCCTTCCATAATTTTTTATTAAAATACATACTCCTATGTTAGTTCAGCCTCCAAATAATTATGAGATCATGACTGATAGCTTTCTATGAGCACAAGAATCTCTGGGTTGTGATAGCATTAGAAACAAGAGAAAGAGAGACAAGTAGTACTGAAGGTGAAGAAGAATTCACATATATATTCTAGTTATGTAGGAAAAAAGTGGGTGCATTACTATAGCACACCCACTGGGTTATCTGATCCTAATTGTATGGTAGCCATTTCACAACTCTGAAAGTTGTATATAACTGGTAATAAGGCAAAATAATTTTGTGTATGGATATATGCAAATTAATATGAGCTAGTAGAAGGGAAACCCCCTCGCTCCAGGAACTACCATCTTTGCCTCCATTTGTACATAGATTTCTAAGTTCCTACTTACAGGTGTGTCTGTCCTTGGATTCTTCTTTGAATTGGTTGTTACACCTCACCAGTTTGCTCATTAATGAGTTGTACAAAAATTTTTAAGATATGATCATTTTTGTATCTGCATGAAAGTCATGGCTTTTACCTTTTTTTGAAAATAATCTTTAAACACTTGAGTCTCAGTTTTGGTTTTATCTTTCCTCAGATATGTTCAATGCACAGATAGTTAATGAGCTTAGATTCTATGTGTAGCACCATGCCAAGTGGTGTGGTAGACAATAAGGAACAATAAACCCAACGTCTGACCTAGAGAAAGGAAACTGGCTGATTCAGAAATATAATTCCTGTTTCCTGTAATCCTTTCATCCTCTTTTTTCTTTCTTCTTTGCTTTCTTTCTGTCTTATGAAGTAAAATAAATGAGGTGATTATTTCATTATGATGAATGGTACGAGCATAGGTAGATTGCCTCTCATTTATAATAAAATTGATAAAGTATTTGAACTAAAAAGATTATTTTTCAGTGCTACAAAGATTAAATATCTCTCCTTATCAAAAGGGGAGAAATGTGACACACCACTTTGTTCTGATCGAGATTTTTTACTCTAAAAAATCTCAAAAAGAATTCCAAGGAGACAGAGTGGAGAGTAATTTGATGACTTGTTCTACGTAGACAGGAAGAGAGTAAGAGTCTGAAAGTAACTATGGTACGAGACTGCCAATAATAGGTTCACTCACCATTGCCTGGGCTGACAGGTGAATTAAATTGAAAGATATGCCTGCCAGGTATTTGGAAGTCTTTCTTCTTCTCACCCCATTATATGCTTTGAACTTTATGTTGTGTCATTGTGATAAAATAAGGAATCATAGAGTAAAAAGTAAGCCTTTAACTCGACAATTTAAAACATTTCCTACTCCATTGTAACACTCTATGTATTTTCTGACTATAAAGAGGGCTAAAAACCATCACAGAGTGGACACATTCAATAATTTCTATTAAAAGTGGATATGACCCATTACTTTCACTGTGGCCTTTATTTTTCTGAATCTACAGATTTAATTTTATGGGCATTGTAAAATCACTACTGTGCCATTACACTTACAAAATCACAGGTACCAAAGCTGTGTCTACACAAGCAAAGAGAAGAGTTCATACAGTTATTTGGAATTTTCTTTTACTTCATTTATTTAAACTTTCTTACTCTTATAATTTATCAAATTCAATAAACATTTTTATCAAACACTGGCACCAGGGATACAGTGATGAATAAAAAAGACATAGTCTTTGCTCTCATCTATCTTAAATTGTAATTGATGCTTTAAATTTCCACTTAAATGTAGTAGTTTTTAAGTTGAAAATAAATGAAATATAAGCAAACATTAAATTCATACATATGCATACAGACATAAACAAAATTCTGACAGTGGTCAGTGTTATGCAGATTATTTGAATAAGGTGATGACTTAAAGAGTAATTATTTTATATTACACCTACTAGGAAAGGTCTCTGTCAGGAAGGTCTTTCATTTAAGGTGCAATACAAAGGCCAAAAGTATACAATCCTGTGAAGATGTGGTAAGAGAGCAAAGGGACAGTTAGTGAAAAGATGATCAAAATATGTGGTAAAGTCAATTGTTATTGCTAAAAACAATTGCATATTTAATATATATTTAGTGTCTCTATATTAAAAAAATAGAGATGACTTCATACTCATTATGATGACTGCTAACAACAGCCAATGAGAAAATAACATGTGTTCGCAAGAATATAGAGAAATTAGAACACTTGTACAGTAAGCTGTCACTTAATATCCTCCATAGTTTCTCGAAAATTCTAGCTTTAAGAGAAGTGATATATAAACAAAGCCAATTTTGCCATATGGTAATTGATATAAACTAGTACTAAATTCCTAAGGCATATTTCTGGTTACAGAAACATCACCAAATTCCTAAATAAAGATCCCAAACACATTTCATATTAAACATTGATATAAATATGAGCTATACATATATTTAAGAAAGATTAACAAAAACAAGTTTTTAAAAATAAATAATTATTTGCCCAGTGGTTCCAGTTCATGGTTGCCAAAGCCTATCCCAGCAGCTCAGGGAGCAGGGCAGGAACCAGCCCTGGCCAGGATACCATCTCATTGCTGAGCGCACTGACACGCACATACACACACAAACATGTGTGCACTCTCTCTCACTTGGACCATGTAGACATGCCAATTCATCTCATGTGCACAGCTTTGGGACTGGGAGAAAACCATAGTATCCAGACAACACATGTAGATATGACGAGAACCTGCAAACTCCTCACAGACAGTGGCCTCAGTTGGAAATGGATTTTTTTTTTCCTCATCAATGTTATAACTAATAACAAATGACTATTGGCTATCGAATGAAATGACATTATTAGGAGACCTACTGTACATTGTTGGTGGGATTGCAAATTGTGTGGCTGCTATGGAAAACAGTATGGCAATTTCTCAAAAAATTAAAATTACTCTATGATCCACCAATCCCACTTTTAAGCATATATTTAAAAGAATTAAAATCAGGGTCTCAAAAGGATATTTGAACAATCCTGATCATAGCAGCATTACTCACAATAGCCAAAAGATGGAAGCAACCTAACTTTCCGTAGACAGATGAATGGATAAACAAAATGTAATATACATATTTACAGTGGAATGTTATTCAATCTTAAAAAGGCTACAACATGAATGTTGTAATATGAATGAACCTTGAGGATATTATGCTGAGTGAAATAAGCCAATCACAAAAAGACCAATATTGTATGATTTTGCTTATGTGAGGTACCTAGAATGGTGATTGGCAGGGGTTAGGGGAAGAGAGAAATGGGGAGTTGATGATCAATTGGTTTAGTTTTGGAAGATTAAAAAATTTCTAGAGATTGATTACATAATAATGTTAATGATCTTAACATTATTGAACTGTACACTTTGAAAATGGTTAAGATAGGCCAGGTGTGGTGGCTCACACCTATAATCCTAACACTCTGGGAGGCTGAGGCTGGAAGATTGCTTAAGCTCAGGAGTTCAAAACTGGCCTGAGCAAGAGTGAGACCCCATCTCTACTAAAGATAGAAAAAATTAGCCAGGCATGGTAGCATGTACCTATGGTCCCAGCTACTCAGGAGGCTGAGGCAGAGGATTCCTTGAGCACAGGGTGACACAGTGAGACTTTGTCTCAACTAAATAATAAATAAATAATAGATTAAGTAAATTTTATGTATATTATTTCTTTATCAACAATTAAACTTCAGGAGGCTGTACAAAGAAACTAAACCTTTTTAGAGAGAACTCTATTAATATGTTCCATTGTCAATTATACAAAGCATTAGTAATTAAATCAATTAGTATTGAAAAAAATAGGGTTTGACCAGGTGGAAGATTGAGCCCTGATATAAAACCATCTCATATAGCCATCTAATCTCGTTGACAGCAGCAAAAAATACACTGGGGGACATCCCTTTTCAATAATTGTGTGTTGTGTACTGGTATGTTTGTGAGATGAATGTGCTACATAACTCATGCTGGATACAGATAACCTCAAGTAGAAACTATTAATTCTAAGGGGTGTTTACCTTCTTTGATTCATGGGAAGTAATTTATGAAACCCAAAGGAATACGGCAGCAAATAAATAAATGGCATGATCAAGTACTTAGAGTTTTGACAGCAAAGCACTATGCATGAAGGTAATCAGATTACGAATGGGTGATCTCAGCCCTCATTGTAATGGCTGTATCTAGATATTAGAATGCACAGGAAAATCAGCAGAAAAATAAAACTCAAAATCGTGGGCAAAGGACATGAACAGAACTTTTCTAAGGAAGACGGATTAATGGCTAACAAACTGAAAGATGTTCAACATTTCTAATCACAGGAAATGCAAATCAAACTAATTGGATATACTTATTTCCAGTAAGAATGGCTTTCAAACGTCCAAAGAAATAGTGTTTGGTGGTGAAGAGATAGGGAACACTCTACATTGTGTGAGCTGCAAATAGTTCATCTTTGAAGGCAATATGGATTTAAAGCGGGACCAGTGGTTCACCATTGATCCGCATCCATACTGGGATTTACAAAGGTGCCATGACTTACAAGAACTGCATCGTATTTTATTGTGCAGAAATTATTTTCAAGCTGTTGAACAGTGCATCTCCAGTGGTGGTTAATAATGTGGTAGTATGTATACCATGGATACTATTCGTCTA